GTCATCACCTCAGCGCCGCCTTCCTCATTCATCACTGTAAGAAAGACTCATACCTACCTCCTGATTACAATTCAAAAATACTTACCTGCAAGAACTCACCTGGACTCCTTCCTTTTCAGCACTCCCGATCCTTCGACATCTCAGCACCTGTAAATAAAATAAATTATTTTTTGACTTTGCTTCTCTGTTGTATGTTTTGTACCAAATCCGCAAATTCTTTGACTCACCTTGAAATCCTGATACTCTGCAGTACTGCTGACACCACCCTGAGCCTGTGTGCTCCATCAGCTCTGTGGACCACCTGCATGGCTGCGTGGCAGACTCTGCTGCAGAGGAGCTCTCCTCCTCCATGCCTCAGGACATGAAGAAAACTCTGAGTCCCGTCGGTCCAGCTGGACTGCTCAGCCCTCACTTCCTGTCTGTTCTGGTGAAAGGAGACACAACAAAGACACCTGAATGTGCCCTTAATGTGACCCTTCTTCATCATCAAGGTTTTTGAGTTCTTCACCACTAAACTGAATTAAGCGGAGCTAACCAAAGCTAGGAGTGGTTGTGGGAAGACACTTCATGTCCTTAACTACAGCAGATTAAAGGAATATTCCTCCCACTCAGTCAATTCTGTGGAAAATCCTTTACCTAAACAGTCAGTATAAGGATATATATAGGAAGTGATCCCACCTGATTTTATCCCCCCTCAGGAGAAGTGACTCTAATGGACATGTGGTCTCAGTAGCTTCTAGTTTCAGACACAGACACAAGTGGGTCATATCAGTTTCTCAGTTAAAGACAAACACATTGTGAGGCATGAATGCAAATAAAATACCTGCAGCCCTTTCCGATCAGGCAGATGACCCTTTCAGTCTGTCTGGTAACAGCCCAGCCCAAGGTTAACACTATCGATCCAGATTAGGTTTCCAGGAGGGTCGACCCCACCCCACCCCATCCTTGCTCTTCCCCCCCTCCAGCCCCTCATCCTAGCATGAATTAATAATGGAATGGACTAAAAATCCATAACAGTGGAGGAGTTGAAAAGGATAGAATAGCTGCAGAAATTATTTTATAGTTTTCTCTTTTGTTGTTTGGTCCTCTCAGAAGCTCAGTCTTGTTGAGTCTAAAGGGGGGTTTGTTCAGGTTTTTCGGAGAACATCTGTCAGTCTGATGGGTTCGAGTTTTACAACAGCTGAAGGTGGGGGAAGTCTTTGGATCATGGAGCGATCAGAGTATCAAGAAAAATCCAGCTAAAATGATGAAACAGCTACCCTCTGAAATCCCACCAGTGGTTCATTCAGGTCACTATAATGAAGAGCAGACAGAAACATACTGAAAAATAAACCTCAGATGCATTATGCAAAAACTCCTCGAACTGTGAGAGAATGGAGACTCTGATGGTCAAATAATGA